CTCTGCCTCCCAGGTTCAAGTGACTCTCCTGCTTCAGCCTCCCAAGTAACTGGGATTACAGGTGCTCGCCACCATGCCCAACTAGCTTTTGTATATTTTAGTAGAGATGGGATTTCGCCATGTTGGCCAGGCTGGTCTTGAACTCCTGACCTCAGGGGATTCTGGCCTGCCTCAGCCTCCCAAAGTGCTGGAATTACAGGTGTGAACCACCACATCCAAATGATTCTACATATTCCAAAAAGGTCTATTTAGTACTATCATGTGGGGGACCAGTATATCAGCAGAAAAGGGCAACTAAGCTGTCATTATGACTCAAATTGTTACCAAAAAGAGAAAAAGGGGAATTTCCTCCTACTGAAAATCTAACAAAGCAACTGTTTTAAAAAAATCATATTGTAAAGTGATTTATTCTCATAACTATGGGTGATATACTACCCTTTTTGGTGAGTACAGTTAAAAAGGAAAACCAGCTTGACGTTTGAGAATTGTCTTATTCCTTTTTAGTGTATTGGACCGAGTTCCAGATGGACCAGTATTTATTGCTATGTGTTTTCTAGTGAGAATAATAGATGCAGTTAGCTTTGCTGCAGCAATAACTGCATCTTCCTCTATCCTGGCAAAGGCTTTTCCAAATAACGTGGCTACAGTATTGGTATGTATTTAGTAAGTATTTCCTATTTCCCTTTGAGTGTAAAACAAAATATTTGCTTGCCTTTCCAAGTTAAAGCTGAGGTCCATTCTCCTATACTTGTATTTCTCTACTCCCTGTATTATTACTGCCTTTCACCCTGAGTTCAACTGGCAGGAAGCCTGTCAATAAATGTACCATTAGTGTTACTTAGGTGCTCTTCCTGGTTTTGGAATTCCTGAATGGGCAGTTTGACTGGTAAGTGTGGTCCAAATCAGTTGTTCTTTTTACCCCTTAAAAAAAAAAAAAAAAAAAAAAAATTTAGGCTGGACGGGTGGCTCAGGCCTCTTATCCCAGCATTTTGGGAGGCTGAGGTGGCTGGATCACCTGAGGTCAGGAGTTCGAGACCAGCCTGATAGACATGGAGAAAACCCATCTCCACCAAAAAGACAAAATTAGCCAGGCGTTGTGGCGCATGCCTGTAATCCCAGCTACTTGGGAGGCTGAGGCAGGAGAATCGCTTGAGCCCAAGAGGCAGGGGTTGTGGTGAGCTGAGGTTGCACCATTGCACTCCAGCCTGGGCATCAAGAGCGAAACTCCATCTCAAAAGCGAAAACAGAAAATCTCCTTGGTAGTGTTTTGCTATCTCCCTGTAGTCTAGATTGTGGCCGAGCTGCCTGAAGCATTCCTCTGCTTTAGAAAAAGAGTTATCCCTAGTGGCAAAATAATCAGTTTATACTAGAGTCCTACCTTGACTTACCCCAGATTAATGCAGGGGATCTTAGAAATCATCTTGAAGTTCGTAAGTGCTTCTGTGCTGTCTATCTGAGGATAGACAGAATGCTTTTGCATTTTGACATAAACATCCAGATCCTGGTGGCATCATATTGACATATGTTTTTGTGTACTGCCTAGGTGCTTACAGGCCTAGTATTAGTGACATATCAGATTCCCATCCCATCTCTAGGCAGCTGTCTCTGACACCCGAGAAGGCTTTCCCATCATAGCACTGTCTGTCTGGGCCCATGCACTTCTGAAATACTCATATTATAGTCTGCATGGCACCCTTATAGCATATCATTGTTCTCTAGACTTCAGAGTCTAATCAACTTAGTACCAAGGACTCCCTCATTTTCTCATTTAATACTGCAGTTTGAAAATTTGCACTGTCAGATAAACCCTTTGCTGTATAAATAGTTCTTCCTACTTCTTATTAAGCATTTGTGTATATAGCTGGATAGCTTCAAGTTTTATTGCCATTTGGCAGATATACCACTTACATTTCCAGGCAATATATTTCTCAGAAAGGGCTCAGAACACTAGTCTGTTGATATACTCTGTAAGATAAGGGTTTATGGCTAAGCAGGTTTGGAGAGTGTTATATGCTGTCCTGTAACCTAGGAGATGTCCAGTTCACATTAATATCTTAAGGCTTTGAAAATCCTGGAGTAGGGGTACTTTATTTAATGTTCCACAGCTCACTTCAACTTCTTTAAATGTGGAACCACATTTTTTTTTCTTTTCTTTTCTTTTTTATTTTTTTCTGTAGAGACAGGGTCTTGCAGACCTGTCTGTTGCCCAGGCTGGTCTTCAACTCCTGGCCTCAAGCAGTCCTCCCACTTTGGCCTCCCAAGGTGGCTGGGATTATAAGTGTGAGCCACCATGCCTGGCTGGAGCTATTTTTTTCAAACAAGACTTTTGATATTTTAAAGAGCTAGTTTTCTGTGGAACACTCTGGAAAATGCTACCTAATAAGTTCTTGTGATAATTATAACAGTCCACTGGATTTTCTAATCAGCAAGAAACATCCGTGTTGCTAGGGCAAGTTTCTGTATAAAATTACAGCCAACAGCTAACAAACTAACATGGTAATTGATCCGGATAACCTTATTGTGATTAAAGAATTTCAATGTTCTTTATGAAGTGTTGAAAGTTATGAATGGAACACTTTTGTATACTCTATGAGGTCTGAGGATATAAGGTTGCAAGCCACAGATCTCTGTTTAAGGTCCCTAGAAACTAGATTGATTTAAAATGTTGGCAATTTCTATAGTGGTAAACCCTTTTTCCCATAGCATTGTTTTGTTTAACTTTAAACAAAATAATTTTATATGGTACAAAATTCGAAAGTTACGGGAGGCAGCGTAGAATATAGTAAATGTATTCTACTTATAACTGTTGCTTAGCCTTTGTATAACACCAGTTGTGCGGGTGCCCAGCGCTCCATCCCCTTAAGGAAGGCAACAGATAGTGGAGGTTTCTTCCAGAGAAATTCCACATATATGCATGTACACACACACACACACACACACACACACACACACACGCACACACACACACACAGATCATGATTTCCCTCCTCCTTTTTTCTTTTCCTTTCTTTTCTTGGACAGGAATATTGAGGTATCTCTCTTTTCTCTTTCTTTTTTTTGAAATGGAGTCTCGCTCTGTCGCCCAGGCTGGAGTGCAGTGGCGCAATCTTGGCTCACTGGAACCTCCACCTCCTGGATTCAAGCAATTCTCCTGCCTCAGCTTCCAGAGTAGCTGAGACTACAGGCACGTGCCACCACACCTGGCTAATCTTTTGTATTTTTAGTAGAGACGGGGTTTCACCATATTAGCCAGGATGCTCTTGATCTCCTGACCTTGTGAACTGCCTGCCTCAGCCTCCCTAAGTGCTGGGATTACAGGCATGAGCCACTGCGCCGGCCTCCCTTTTTTTTTCTTTACACAAATGGTAGCATACCATAGGTACCATTCAGCACCAACAATGAAATCATCTTGGAGATCTTCCTGTACCTACACATAAGGAGCTTTCTTACTCTTTACTTTTCTTACTGGCTGTATGGCATTTCACTGCGTGGATATAACCAATTTACTTACATCATTGATGAATATTTAGATTATTTTCATCTTTTGCTGTTGCAAAACTGCACTATAGTGCATAAGCTTGTATACATACCATGTCACATCTGCATGTCTATACTTGTATGTTAAATTCTTTGAAGTGGAATTCTGGATCGTAAGGTATATGGATATTGATAGATTTGCCGATTTGCCAAATTCCCTACTGATGTTCACTCACCAGCATAGAGTATTAAATAGGAGATAGGTGAAAACTGGTATCTTGTGGTTTAGATTTGTTCATTTCTTTTAAGAAGTGAGGATGAACTTCTAAAAGATCTTTGTGTTTCACTTTATGTGTCAACCATTTATTTATAGCATTGGCTCATTTTTCTATGGGTTGTTTATCTTTTCCTTATTGTGGCACTTGTGATGTATTTGGCAAATTAGTTCTTTGTCATTTTTTTCTCTGTTCTTCATTTATCTTTTGATTTTTTTTGCGTCATTTTTCGTATTTTCATGTAATCAGATTTATCAGTCTTTTCTATCTTCTACGTTTTATGTCATAATTAGAATACCTTCTCTACCATAAGAATTTTCTTAATTCCTTATTTTATTTTTCTAATATTTTTATAATTTCAGTATCTGCATTTAAACTTTGGGTCCACCTTGGAAAAGTGTGTATGTAAATTATGAAGAAGATAGAAATTTTTTTTAGATAGTACCTTGTTAATTCTTCAAATGAAATATATGAACTGATTTTTTTTGTTTTTCTCATTTTAAGGGAAGTCTTGAGACTTTTTCTGGACTGGGACTAATACTAGGTCCTCCTGTAGGTGGCTTTTTGTATCAATCCTTTGGCTATGAAGTGCCCTTTATTGTTCTGGGATGCATAGTTTTGCTGATGGTACCACTCAATATGTATATTTTACCCAATTATGGTAAGTCCACGCTTATCTTCATTTTAAAAACCTTAAATATAT